TCCTTTTCGTATTAGATTCGGTTTCCTTTGAGTTCAGATTTGCGTAGGACATTATTTACTTGTATTGTAAGTTAGTTTACCTATTTAAACTCATGCTTAGGATGTAATCGTCAGTTTTTGAAGTTCAATTGAATTGCAACAGTAGCCGGTTTCCAAGCTTGAGTTGAGAGCATCCTAGAGCGACGACTAGGTTGTTTGTTCGCTTGTATCGATCAGCCGCCATCCTGATCGTGGCCAAGCTTTGACGATAATCTTCGAGCCTCCTTCCCGCGTGAGGGTTGCACGAGATTTCCACCCAATTCACACCCCAGTTCTCTTATTTCCTTCTTCTTATCAAAACTAGTTCTTAATCCGCCAACTCTGATCATGAGAGCTAATTCTGGCCTCATCACCTTTCCTCCCACTTCCATTTCTGTTTCACTTTCTTTCTTCCTCTTTCTGCTTCGCCGTCGCTGTTGTTATATCTCCATTTTTATTTCCCTTTCCTTCTTTCCTATTTGATTTTTATGTGATTATAGGGTGTATTAGTCAATAAGTGAAAATTAGATACAAAACAAGATCACAAGTGTAGAAAAGGAGCAAGGAACAAATATCGTGGCCTAGAAGCCAAAGATTAGGGCCGAGATCTCCAGTCGTGAAGTCTCGCTGAAGATCACGGCCCAGAAGCCAAAAATCGTGACCACGATCTTGGAGCCCCAGGGCATGAACTTCGAGAGAAATGAGCCATAGATGAGCATAGACTTTCCCTAGTCGAATCACGGGCAACGTGCAAAATGCCCGCGAGGAAGATCACAGTCACGACTCAAGGACCTCGACCGCGAAGTCTGGCCGCGATCTCCCCCATCCTTAAGGCTTCGACGACAACATTTTGAGATCACGACCCAGTGACCAAAGATCACGACCGTGATCTCCCTGCCTCAGGCTGCGAAGTTCCCCGAAGCCAAGTTGCCTATTAATAGAAGACCCCTTCCCTTTTTAAGTGAGCTAATTTTGGGTGAAATTTCTAGTTCTAGAGAGAGAGAGAAGAGAGAAGCTGAAGGGTGAAGAAGAGAAGGAGTAGCTAGGAGCAAGGAGGCATCTTCTACCTCAAGTCTTCTTGTATTTCTGCCATGTATCTTCTTCCCTCCTTTATGGAGTAGTCCTCTAAGGTACTAGGGGTTCTAAACCCCAAAACCTAGTTTTAGAGTTTATTATGTATGTATGGATATTTTAGGGTTTGAATGAATGAATGTGTTTGTCTAGTTGATTTTTAATGTCCTCTTTCCTAAATGATGACGCTTGGGTAAGTCACCCTAATCTTCCCTCTTAGCCTATTTTATGCTACTGCGCTGGGTAAGGAGTTCTAGGTTAGATGGGTATGCGCCAGCTGGCGAGTTTAGGTTAGATGTGTGAATGGGGGCCTATAGTGGTCGAGGAGACCGAACCCTTGTTATAGGTATCCTTCCTAGATGAAACCCGGGATGAAACCTCGGTGTGGACGATGGATAGTGTCCATTGAAATGAGCCATAAGCTTAAAGCCCCAGATATGATAGCATAGATCGAGGTGACTGAAACATGGGTTTAGGGGAGGTGTACTTGGAGGCGTGTGGATAACAGCGAAGGCCAACGAAAAAGAGCTCACTCACCACATTCGATAACCCTAAGTATATATACGTGCATAGTATCCCTAAGCTAGGGGGAGGATTAGTTCCCCGAAGTACATGCTTTTAGCTTTGATCAACCTCTAGACTAGTGTTTCCTCATATCCTCCACTCAAAACCTAAAAACCCGATTACCTAATTAACAACAAGGTGGGAAGTAGGCTAAGGTAACAGGACCCGAGTAGAATATGACATTGATTACCACTATACGGCAATGATGACTTAGGTTAAACTTGGTTTAGGATGTGATTGTTGTTAATACGTGCAAACCATTGACAATAACTTGCACGAATTCAAGCGATCATTACAACATCTTCGAAATTGGAATATTGGACGCCATTGAGGAAATAGTCTGTGTAATCATCTGTTAGTTTTACGTTGTGAGCCATGTCTACCTGCAATTATGATTTTACAACTCGTTAGAGACAAATTATATGATGCAACACAGCTAAATAATGAACCAATAAATACTAAAATCAATTAACTCTACAAAATAAAACTAAATGCAATAATTTAATTAACTCTACAAAATAATGACAATATGACTATAATTAATTTAATTAAATATAAATTATTATTTGAAATTAGCTTTACGAAATAAAACTAAATACAATCAATTAACTCTAAACTAGTTAATTCTACAACAAAACACAATCACTTGATTAAAACTATACACAAAATTAACTCTAACTCTGAAAAATAAAACCAAAAGCAATAAATTAAATATGAATTATTAGCTCTAAAATTAATAATCATTTAACTCTAAAATAAACATAACTAACACTATGTGCCATTAATTTAACTCTAAATAAACATAAATAACATAAACATCAATTAACTATAAAATAAACATAATATTTATCAAAATACAACAACAAAAAATTGTAGGAGACCCGTCTGCTCGCCAGCGTCGGACGGGGTCCGCCAACTCAGGTCCGACGGGGTCCGTCAGCTCCAGTCGGATGGGGTTCGCTTGCCCATGTCAGACAGGGTCAGCGACTGATAACAGACTTCTGACACCGGCAAGTGACGACACCCGACAACAGCGAGCGGACGAAGCTAAAAAGAGGGAAGGTCAACGTGATTACCGTTGTCGTCCGCCTCCTAGCCGGTGATGTGGTTTGACGCCGTGGTGATAAGCTCGCCAGCGATTTCTCTCTCTGGCGGTAGTGGTTCTGCGCCGGCCGTTGCTCCAACAATTGGGTTGGATGGTGATGTGAGGATAATAGGATTTAATTGATTAAAAAATATTTCAATGGAATAGAATATAAAAAAATATGAAGGGCAAAAATATAATTTTAATAGACAAAGTGGCCTCCCGTCTAGCTGGGTGGAAGGTAGAGAAGATGAGCATGGCTGCAAGAGTCACTCTGACGCAGTCAGTACTATCGTCTCTCCCGTCCTACACGATGCAAACTTCTTTCCTCCCAGCAAGTGTTCGGAATTACATAGATAAAAAGAACCGACATTTATTTGGGGGAGAACGGAAGGCGGACGGAAGGTTCATTTGACCGATTGGGAAATAGTTTGCCGACTAAAAAAAGAAGGAGGACTTGGGTTGAGGACAGCTACTCGATCCAATGAGGCATACATGCTGAAACTTACATGGCGATTGATAAAAAATCCAAATGAGCTGTGTGCGCGGGTGATTCTGCACAAATACATGAAAGTTTCGGACGAGGGTTTTCTACCTCGCAGAAGCGGACGTCTCTCTAATATGTGGCGTGGGATCCTCCGTATCTGGCACATGGTAGAGGAAGCCACAGTTTGGAACATACAAAATGGAAGACGGGCGCGGTTTTGGAGAGACGGATGGTTGACTGATGGCGAACCTCTGATGACTTTTGCTCCAAATGTTCCTGTGGAAGCCCTTGACATTCCGGTGGCCGAGTTTGTGCTGAATGGTAAGTGGAACATTGGTTATATATCATATTACTTACCGCCTGAGTTGGCTTCGCATGTACTTCTCCATCCGGTGCCTACGGAGCAAACCGATGACGCTAGATGCTGGCGATTACCGGCGGATGGAAACTTCACATTCAGTTCGGCGTACGAGACCACCGGCGGGGACGAGCCAGAAAACCTTCACCGCCACCCAAGATGGAGAGCGATTTGGTGAACCCCGACTATTCAGAGAATGAGAATATTTCTTTGGCCAGCAGCGCACCAACGCCTTCTCACCAATGCGGAACGCAAGAGACGCCACCTTACAGGGGATGACAGCTGCAAAATTTGTGGAGCAGGACCTGAAACCACCATGCATGTACTCAGAGATTGTCCTTTTGCGCGAGCTACATGGGCGGGTTTGCTGAAAATGAGCTGAACCAAGACTTCTTTGGCTGATTGGATGTTCCATTACACTGCGGGGCATGGGCGAGTGATCGATAGTACCCTCTTTGCGGTACTTGATGGCTTCTATGGAAGAACCGGAACAACTTCTACTTTCAGGGTGAGCTACAGTCCTTTGCACAAATTCAGGCTAAATCTGTACAGCTGAAGCAACAAATCATTCAAGCTTCAAAAAAGGAGAGTACGATAATCGGAGCCGGGAGACTCCGAACACCGATATCAAGTGGCAGCCACCACAACATGAGTGGGCGTGCCTCAAGACAGACGCATCAGTGACCAACTCTCCTCTTAGCTCGGCGGCTGGCGGAGTCGTGCGGGGAGACGACGACCGCTTCATTACAGCTTTCACTATGAACCTTGGGGGAGGTTCAGTAACGAGTGCAGAGTTAGCCGAAATTGTGCAAGGATTGAAACTCACTTGGGAGGAAGAAGTTCGGAAGGTGATTCTGCAGACAGATTCCACCACAGCGAAGCATCTTATTGAAGTCGCCACACCACACCATCGCCACTACACAAGTGTCGCCGAAATACGACGTTGGCTCGCGAGGGACTGGCAAGTCCACATTGTCCATGTTTACAGAGAGGCAAATGTTGTTACAGATTATCTCACTAATTTAGGGCATTTGTGTTTAGTTGGTTCCCATGTTATTGCAGCACCTGATGCTGCTTTTTCTTATTAATTGTACCATGACATTATCGGAGTCAGAACGACTCGCTTTATTATTGAATAAAGGTTGGGGTGCGTTTAAGCGTTCCGCTCCGCACCCAGAAAAAATAAACAGGGAACAAGTAATAAAGATGAGAGCCGCAAATAACAACCTCAAGATTATAACCTAGTTTCCTAGATACCAAGCTTGGGAATTGGGATGCTGTATGGCCTGCCTTCTCCCTCACAATTTTGGCCCTCCAATATGCTTACGTGTCACCTAAGCAAATTGTAAAAGGCCGGCATTGTACATTTTCCACGTCGAAATGTACCAGAAAGCTGGAAAAATATCTCTCCCGGCCAGAACCACCGAGTCGCAATTTCCGGTCATTTCGGTCTGGTCAGCCAGCCAGAGCCAAACTGCTCGCATAGCTTTGCCTTTCAGGCTTCAGCTGGCTGGTTTGTTGAACCGCCTCCTTTCTTCTCGCCCTTCTTCACCAACCCGCCTCCGTCTCTCCTGACTCACACCCACTTTCCTCGGATTTTCTCGTTCTTTCCCCCAAGCAATCTTTCCTTCCTTCTCCGTTTCTCTTCCAATTCAAAGCTCAGTCAGTCAGCCGGCGACTATCTTCAAGAACAAAGAACACTGTGTCGGTTTCTCTAAAAAACCCTAACATGTCCTCCTCCTACTACGCTCCAGTCCCAACGCTTCCCTCCTCTTCTCCTTCCATCGCCTCTATTCCCTCCCTCCACTTCCGACGCTCTTTCGCTTCGCTTACCGCCGGCAAAGCTTCTTCAAGACTCTCGATTGACCTTCTTCCCCCCAACAGCCTGCCCCTTGGTCTCCCTTATCTCTGCCGCAGGACTCCTTTGACCTCCATCGTCGCCTCCGCCGCTTCTCGGGAAGAATCGGTATCACTCTCTCGCTTCCTCCCCCCCTCCCTCTCTCGATTTCGCATTGGTTTCCTTAGCCCTTTTTTTTTTGGCTTGTGATTCAGTATAGTTGAAGAACCAATTTGACTTTAACTGTTCATTTGAGCAATGATTATGATGTGTTTGCTGAATTGACTGTGTGGATTTTATGGTAAATAGGCGCACCCTGATTTCGAAGTGGAGAAGAATGACGATGATCTCGACACCAGGAATCAAGAGTCGCAGGAAGCTTGGAAGAAGGCTCTTGAATCGTTCAAGGAACAGGCCATACACATGAAAGGTATATCTCAGGAAGCTTACGAAGTCTACTCCAAGAAGGCCATGGTCATTCTGGGAGAGACTTCAGAGCAGCTCAAAATCCAAGCTGAGAGGGCAAGGAAAGATTTGAATTCTTTGGCTAAGGAGGTTAATGAAGCTGCCGAGAACTCTCCTGAAGGTGTTAGGGATATTCTGGAGACTATCAGCTCATCTACTGATGTCAAAGATATCTCTGAGCTCAAGGATTACCACGTTGGGATAGGATATGGTGTGTGTATATGGACTTAAGCGTTCAATTAACTCTGCTTATGATGTTCCTTCCAATCATTATTGTTGCTGCATTTGAAGGCTTAATCCTTGGAGCTGAAGTTTCATTGCATCGCTGTTTTTTCACAGGCTCCCTTGTGTTTCTTGGTGGGTTTGCTGCGTTCATGTTGGTTGGGAGCATTTCTGCTGTTAGGTTCGGTGTGATTCTTGGTGGTGCTCTTTTGGCGCTTGGAATAGCAAGTCGAAGAGCACAAAACAATGGGGAGGCATATGATTTGCCCTTGAAAGGACAGACAGGTTGGGTTTCTGACAGTTGTATTATGTAACAAAGTTTTCAGTCAGTGGATCTTTTCAATCTTGAAGTAATTAATTGGCTTGGTTTGCTTCTGCAGCAATTGCGGCTGTAATTTTCCTTAGGAAGATCACTTTGCTGTTTCAGGTGCAGCAGATACATTCATCTGTTCATTCCTTGGTTCTCCTTTATTTTTTACATGGTATAAGCACTAACAGTTTTTTCCTTCCCTCATTTTGCAGAGAGGTTCTCTTTTCCAATTCATTTCGGCTGTCATCAGGTTTGTTACCTGTTCTCTTTGACCCCCTTTTTTTAACCTCGCAGAAGTGTAACTGGGTGTGTAACAGAACAAGGGCACCTGAAAGAATGAATCTTGGTGGACTTGTAGTAGTTGTAGTGAGACCTGGCCTTCTTTAGAGCTTCACACTTTCAATTCCCCTGTGGTTATTAACTATTAACTGCCCTTTTGGTTTCTGATGACTTGGTTTGGTTTGTTTCTGCAGTACTGCTGTGCTTGCGTTTTACTGCTATAGGATTGGTACGCAGAAGGGTATGGATGGCAGGAGCACCAACTGGGGAACACCTGCAGAAGAGTAATGCCTTTCTTTGATGCCAGCGTGAGAGATATGTCTAAGCTGTCAGTCTGTTATGAGCGAAAAATTCAAATTTGGACTTCCACACGACGTTGCAACTGATGAAGCTCGCTTTGTACGAGGTGGAAGGTAGTGTATGTTAGTTAGGCTCGGGCAGTAGCCTGGGGACGTTGCTTCCCAGTTCTGGAGAGCATTCGTAATGCAAAATGCAGGGTGTTCTTGTTGTCTTTTCGAGCTGTATCATGATAGCAAGTCCGATATGGACCAACAAGGTTCCACAGTGATACTTAAGGGTGTTTTTGGCTTTGAAATGTCTGATTTGTTTTTGCCCATTAATGTTTTTAGAATGATAGAGCGTATGGCCAGCCTGTTAGACGCTAATTAGTGAATTGAAAATGGCTGTGGTCTTTTCTTCTTTCATTTCGAGGTATTTTTTCTATGTATTAATGGGTTTTGTTAATAGAGCAAGTAGCCTGTACATTTATGCTCCCTTAGGCCTTCCGATCATTCTTCGGAAAACAAAATAGAAGTCTCCCGAAACTCGTTATAACCTGAAAATTTATAAACCCTAATCTTGGCCTTCTCTCTCAGAAGAAAGCGTGAGTATCAAAAGAGCATTTATCTCTGAGAACGATCTCCAAGGGTTTCTTAGCGTTCCTCCATTTCCCTCGGGTTCGAAATGAAGCGACGAGAGTAAATACATTAAAACAAAGGCAGATCATAGAAAAACGACGAAAAAAGAAATCACGAACTAAAAGCGCACCAAACCTGGACAGTCGATCTGTATATCTATCTCATGGTTATGTGCACAACCGAGTATAATTTTAAAGGACATAAAGTTACATACACAAAGCAACAAGTCCCACAGCCTTTCCAACGAAATAGCCCACAACCGAAACGAAAAGAAAGGGCACCAAGTCGGGCCAAGGAGAGCGTCTTCCGGGGATATGCAGCGGTCTAGGAGTTGCAGCCTTTGCCTCGAGCCAAGCTGTGATAAGTGTGAATTTCGTCATGTTGCTGTAGTTTACCTCCATCTTCACAAGGAACTTAAATATCTAAACCGCCCCTCTGAGTATTATGAACAGGGATCTCCCCTCCTCCATTGTCCAGCGGCATGTACTGAGCCATGATCGCACGTATCTCAGAGTCCATATACCTCCGGATTCTGTACTTGTAAATCGCATATCCGGCACCAGTTACAGCAACTGCTAGGATGATAATCCACAGGAAACTGAAGCCACCACTGAATTCTGCGCTCCCCTTTTTGCCTACACAACATGAAAGCCATACATATACCAGTCAGCCGGTGGATAATTAACTTAATAACTCGATACAATTACCATGGCACGATATGTGCTCAGCTCACTCACCACTTATGCAAGTATCATATTCTCGCATGTACAAGAGACCGCCACCACAGCTGCACTCATAGCTTCCCCACGTGTTTTTGCAGTTGCACTCTGGGCATTGGCATGCCGTCTTCTCCTTGCACTCATCCACGTCTGCAACAGAAACCAAATCAAAAGCAAATCGTACGTAAGCAAATAAATAAAACATATGATTAACAACATTAAAATTGCAGCAATGAGTTGAGGAACATAGCACTCTGTTCATTAAGTGGAAAAGGGGGAAACATACCCTCGCAGGAGTTCACTCCATCACCCTTAAATCCATGAGGGCACTTGCAGCCTTCTGAAGAGTCCTGAATTAAAAAACCATAGTGAAGTAAATATGGTTGCTAGTCTTGAGAATGATATAGAGACAGCATGAGATGCAGAAAGCAATGCTTTGTAGTTACAAACTGGATTTTACTCACAGTGCACGCAGAGAATGTCAAGCCATCTTGAGATTTCTTCCAGCATCCTCCATTGTTGATTCCACAACGCAAAGCACCAGAAGCTGCAGAAACACAAAAGCAGAAGGCATGAAGTGGCGAGATTGCGCATACAACTTAAGTTTCGATGGTGAGCCATCTTATACCAATATCAGTTCGAAGAAATATTTCATTGCTAGCAAGCTATACTAAAGGGCTTGGGCTATATGAGTCAAAACACCATCATGAGAATACAAACTGAGACACGGAAGATGTGTGGTTATTTTACATCCATGGAACAGCTTAAGTCCAAGCTTGTGAGACTTGGAAAAATTACTGTAATTGAACATGCTTTGTAGGCCATGTGAGTACCTTCACAGTGAGTATACCCATCGCCTTTGAATTTCACACCTTGCACAACTGGGCATTCACATACCCTACCCCGGAAAGTATCCTAAACAAGTAAAAACAAACACAAAGTTACCTCACAATTTTCATCAAGCAAGATAACTGAAAGGAATGAACAATACTCAAAGTATAATACCTTGCATGCAGTAAGATTTGATGCTTTGTCTTGCCAGCAGCCACCATTGTTTTCTAGACATTCATTAGTTTGCAGGTCTGAAAAGGAACAGTCAATAATGAATCATCATCAATTCACAAGGTTTGTTTTCACTATAAAGGGGAGAGGCAGCACAATCATTGTTACCAGTTCCCCCAAATTTTATCACAGAAAAGAATAATGACCTGAGGTTAGACAGATGGCAGGCTCTGTGGTCTCCTGGAAACCTGCACAAATGGCCTTGAGCACAGCTCCTCTATCCAGCTTACCTGTCACGGTAACAGGTAAATCTTAGAAATGCCAAATAAAACAGTGACGACTTTCATAGTACAGCGAAATAATAATGATTTCGTTTCAAACCTCTATACTGTCTGTTGTTTATCACAAGAGTTGGCAGAATGGTCACATCTCCACGAGATCCTTTTCCAATCTATAGCAAGAAGTAAGACAAAAACAATAGAGTAGGAATTCAGGGCCAAATTTTAAAGGGGAGCTCAGTAAACAAACATAATCTTCAGAGCATCACCTGTGCATCTTGTTCATTCTTAAGAACTGTGTTATCAACATTTGCCTCAGTATCCCCAATACATTCATTTATCTTCTTGAGATCAACACCTGAAGTAAATCACTTGGAAGTGGATAAGGAAAAGCTTCGGTCTTCATCTGATTCTGTTCAAGGATCAAAAGTGCAAAAGGAAATAACTTACCTAGAGATTGGATAACATGCTCAGCACACTCCTTGGTGTACTTCTTCTCCTTCATGGGGCAACGGATAGCAAAATCAGTCACATAGTCCCACCAAAGCCACGGCTTCCCGCTCTCATTCGCAACTTTGTGGAAGCAAACTTGTCTCAGATTCTGCTCAACAACATCCTTCCCATCATATCCTCTGCTAAAATCCTGCTCAGGATCCGGAGCACAGTACCTCCCATGGTTGATGCACTGAGACTTGCACTGTTTGCTCAGTATAAAAGCTTCGGGACAATACCACGTGATATAATGCGGGGTGAACTGAGTGTAACCCTTCTGTTCAAGTATCTGTGCCGCTCCTTTGAAATCTTTCACGAACTCAATCTGGCTTTCACACTTTGAGCCGCACTCATCATTGCTGTTGGTCCAGAATTCATACTCGACCCGCTCATCTGGGTGCGGGAGCGCTTCCGTCCAGTCGAGATTGATGTTGATCATTTCCCCATCGGAAAGTTTCTTCTTGATGCTATCCCCCAAGGACTTCGTAATGAGCGCCGAGGGGATGGTGATGTTTTGCAGATATTCAGCATCCACATTCCCTTCCTCCGGAGTATCCATGGTGATCAAGGGTTCAGCCTTGTCGTCTGCAACAAGAATAGCAGCTGCGCCGCCATTCTGCGCATTCCATGCCTTCAAGGTGAAGAAGCAATCTAACCCACCACAAAATGGAAACATCCAAGATCAGAAGACCCAAACAATCAAGCAACAGTCAGATTCTTCAAGCAATCGAATTTGGGAGAGCGCAACAACAAAACTAACACTCAGCCTTAACCTTTAGGTGGGATCAAATAAGGGAAGAAATCTTATGTTCTAAGCGCCAAGTCAATCGACAAAAAAGCAAAACGATATTCAGAAGACATTCCATAATTAGAGACCCAGAGAGGAATAAATGAACCGCAGTGCTCAAGCAATAGCATAAAGCCATAAACTGAGAAGTGGAAGTTGTAGGCTGTGGAATCTTGAAGTTTACCTCCGCGATCGAGGAGGAGAAAAGTGGGGAGGCCGCCGGGCTTGGATTTGAAGGAGAGATCAAAGTCGTGGAAGCTTTTGCAACCCTTCTGATTTGATTTGGGATAGACTACAGTTCCGACGAGAGTCCCGCCGTACTGAGGGACCCCGAAATTGCCAATCGCACACTCGTAGACTCCCTTCAAGGAATCTGGAGAGGTAACTTTCAAGCTGTTCTTCTCGACGACGAACTTACCGAAGCAAGAACCGCAGCAGAGCAGAAGGCATAAGGCCGACAGAAGATCTAGCTTCCCTCCCATCTTGTCAGCCGACGGAAACGAGTACCAGACTACCAGTTCACCGGTTCGCCTCCAACTGACCGTCGAATTTTTCTTCGAGCGATGGATGTAGAAGAAGAAGAGAGAAGGCAGGAGAAGAAGCAAAGCAACACCGAAGCAGTCGAGGAGTTTATTTGTTGACTTTTCCTCGGAGAAGAGAAGATATCATTTTTTTTTTACTTTTACTACTTTTTTAACATAAGAAAATAAATTTGGGTGTTTAATATAATAATAATAAGAAAATAATAATAGGTGTCGGTATAGAATTACAAGTGGAGGGGATCCGGATGCTTAATTGCTTATAGATTAAGGAATGGAGAAAAAGGAGGGGGAAGTTGTTCAGCTGAAGAAGATATCGATAGAAAAGAAGGCTGTGTTGAATTATTAATATTATGCTTGAGCTGATTTTGTTGATCCTCTGGGACTCCGTCCGTTCCGTCCTAATCTCCTCCTTAATTATTATTACTATTTAAAATTAATTAACTACAGCTAAGTAGGAAGCGAGGTTAAGGAAGATTTTTTTTTTTCGGTGGGAAGAATTTTTTTTATAGGAAGGTTAAGAAAGAAATTGATGTAAAAGTAGAGAGCTCAAGATAGGGTGCATAATCATGAGTTATGGGCTCAAGATAGGGTGCCCTTTATTTAGAAAATCGAGATCTAAGGATATATAATTAAAGACTATTTTTATTTCACTAGCTTTCTTAATTAACTCATATCTTTTTCGTTTTAACTCGGATTTTAATTTTTTTTGCACAGATGGAACGAGTTCACCGTGCTCTACAAAATGAGATCAATTTTCAATATTTTTTTAGGGAAAAAAAATTCTGGCGTCTCGGTACCAACTGCATACCATATGGTATCTTCTTCGTTTTTAATTCGTTTTTGAAAACGTTTGCACAGCAGGGATGAGTTCATCATGATCTACTGGATCTACAAATTTCTGGGTGAACAAATTACAGGACCAAAAAATACCACACAATACCATACAATACCACCCTGGTACGGGGTGGTATTGTATGGTATCTTCTTCATTTTTAATTCGTTTTTGAAAACGTTTGCACAGAAGGGACGAGTTCATCATGATCTATTGGATCTACAAATTTCTGGGTGAACAAATTACAGGACCAAAAAATACCACACAATACCATACAATACCACCCTGGTACGGGGTGGTATTGTGTGGTATACAATGTTAAAAGTCGTAAATTACAATTAATATACTTCTACTATCATGTATTCAACCATCCTAAAGTATTGGTTTGTTCATACCACCATGGTACGTTTTTCAAAACATAGGTATGCTTTTATTTCAATACCAGTCAATACCATATGGTATAGGCTGGTAAAAAATGACTCAATTTTTTTTGTTCGAAAAATATATTAAAGTGGATATCATTTTGAAAAGCACAATTAATCTGATCTAACTGTGCAAAAAAAATTAAATTTTGACTTAAAATGAGCGAGAAATCGTCCGTCAAAAATTAAAAAGGGTAAAATTAAAGGCTTTCCATGAGAGAGAGGATGCTGATGTCATGCTGATGTGGACGGGTTACTCATGGTTACTCACCATAAGGTTACTGACCTGATCCATTCCCAGAGTTATGCACCCATCAAGTTATGCACCCATCAATAACCAAATCTGGACCTTTCATTTAGAAAATCCATATTTAAAGATGGAGAATTAAATATCATTTTTATTTTCTCTAACTTTCTTAATCGGCTCATATCTTTTTCGTTTTAACTCGGATTTTAATTTTTTTTGCACAGATCGAACGAGTTCATCGTGCTCTACAAAATGAGATCAATTTTTAATATTTTTTGAGAAAAAAAAATTCTGGCCTTTCGATACCAACTGCATACCATATGGTATTTTCTTCGTTTTTAATTCTTTTTTTAAAACGTTTGCACAGAAGGGACGAGTTCATCATGATCTATTGGATCTACAAATTTATGGGTGAACAAATTACAGGACCAAAAAAATACCACACAATACCATACAATACCACCCTGGTATGGGGTGGTATCTTGTGGTACACGATGTTAAAAGTCGTAAATGACAGTTAATATACTTCTACGATAATGTATTCAACCATCCTACAGTCTTGGTTTGTTCATACCACCATGGTACGCTTTTCAAACCATAGGTATGCTCTTATTTCAATAGCAGTCAATACCATATGGTATAGACTGGTAAAAAATGACTCAATTTTTTTTGTTCGAAAAATATATCAAAGTTGATATCATTTTGAATAGCACAATTAATCTGATCTAACTGTGCAAAATAAATTAAATTTCGACTTAAAATGAGTGAGAAATCGTCCCTCAAAGATTAAGGAGGGGAAAATTAAAGGCTTTCCAGGAGAGAGAGAGAGGAATGCTGATGTCATGCTGATGTGGACGGGTTACTCATGGTTACTCACCATAAGGTTACTGACCTGATCCGTTTCCCAAGTAAAGTAGGAAGCGAGGTTAAGAAAGAAAGAGAACAATTGGGAGAGGTGTCTCACTTTCAATACATTACCTACGCAATTCACGTCCAAATTTATTCCACTTCCCCACTTCAACTAAAATTCAAACCTCAATTCCAATTTCCACCTATAAAAAAAAGGGAAGTTGCACCTGTTGGGCCGTTGGGGATCGCTGTCTAAATCAAGGCCCACATAGCAAGATACGGCCCAGAGGGGAAAAAGCCCAATGAAGGCTGAAGCACGAGACGGGCCGACCCAATGGACGACGGGCTAGGCGCAGGCGTTAACGTCCCTCGACGGCGGGCATGCAGGCGTGTACGGCTAATGGAGCGGCGTTTATACCAATCATACCATCACTAACACTACATAAAATGCCGCCATAAGCGTACCTCGTAAAGGGATACAAAACATATGACTGACAAGACACCAAGTGCTTACACTAACCACCACAGACTATAAATAAGAGTCAACCACCTCATTTAATGGTAACAAATTCTACTCTCTCTACCTAACTTTCTCTCTCTACATACTAACTTGCTCGTCGGAGAGTGTTCGCGGGCCACGCCCCGAACCTTTTTTGCAGTGAACGAGCCATTCCCATCTCAATGATCCAGCGGTATCTTCCGAGGTCTTCGCAAACCCACCTGGCACTTTCTAGGCGTAAACATTTTCGCGCCCACCGTGGGGCCGAAAGAGAATATTGTTCTCCTTGAGATGTTGGGTGACTCGATCACTCCCATGAAAGAGGTCGTAGAGCCAATAACGCTGCGTGGTTTGTCCCCTGTAGTCGAAGAAGAGGTGGAGCTCGAAGACAGGGTGAAGAGTCGGGGGGAGCAGATCACACAGATGCGGAGTAGTATTAGCCAAATACTCTCGCTTATGAAAGAAGGGATGAGGCGCCAGGAGGCTCCAGGCCCATCCTCCACGCAGAGGGATAAGGGAAAGAAGAAGGTAGTGGAAGTCGACTTGGAAGACGAGGAAACAGAAGACGAAAGGCCGGAAACCGACTTGAGTTTCCTAGAGGAACACCTACAATCCAGCTTTGGGAAAGGGAGCGGGAAGATAAAGGGGCCGAGCATCCTACACAACCCCCTTTCCAAGAAATTATTCCGGAACCCAGTCCCTCCAAACTTTTCATCGCTGGGTCTTCCGACGTATAATGGGGACACCGATCCAAACGACCATCTAAGAGCCTTCACGCTGAAGATGCAGCTGATAAACGCCTCCGACACGGATCTCTGCAAAGCTTTTCCCATTACCTTCGGAGGGCGGTGTCGCACGTGGTGCCCGTCTCTCCCCGAGGGGATCATAGACAATTTCGAGCATTTTGCAACTCTGTTCACATCAAAGTTTGCTTCCCAGATCCGTAGGCGGCTCACCGTCACCGCGCTGATAAATTGCACACAGGGCGAAGGGGAGAGCTTGACAGACTTCTACGACCGATGGAATACCATCGCCTGCGAAATACAAGGCGTTACCCCAAACGTGGCAGCAGGAAGCTTGAGGATGGCCACCAAAAGCAAAGTGCTCCAGAGAGCGTTAATCAAGAAGGAGCAAGACATCAAAACCTGGCCAGACTTAGACAACCTGGTGCGGCGAGCGATTACGTTGGAAGAGGCGTTGGTACCTGCAGATCGTGGAGGAAGAAGGGAGATGAGGAAGGGAAACAGGTCACGAATCCGGAGGGGGCGTCCCCGGAGCGACATAAATACAAGGCGAAAGCGCGAACGGGGGGAAAATAAAAGGGAAGTTTACGCCACAGAAAGAGATAAGGAAGACGCCCCGCCTCGAAAACATAGAGAAGAGAGGCCTCGCCGTGACATGCAAAGGCGCCCCGAATCCCCAGTGTTCAGGAGATGGTGCGACTGGCATTAGAAGGCTTCACACAACACCGTGGATTGTCGAGATTTCCAGATGAGCATTGCGAATCTCGCGCCCGTAGATTTAAGAAGCAGACTAGAAGCGAAAAAACAAGAGCGAACAGCTAGATCACCCTCACTCAAGCGGCACCGTAGTAGGTCTCCTAGAAGGCCGCGTTCCAGATCGCAAGGCAGAAGGTCAAGGACCCCCCCAGAGGTCGAGGTCTCATGATCGGAGGGAGAGAGAAAGACTCCCATCCCCTCCAAACGCGCCACCCCCAAGAAGGCAGCCCCGCCTAGATGATGACGATTTAGAAATAATTACCATCTCCGGGGGGAGGAAGCGGCCACGAGTCGCGAACGAGGGGGAGGCGTGCCTAACGGTGTCCGCTGCGTCGGGTGCTGAGGTGGTTTTCGAAGCGGCGGAGTTGGCCAACCCGGAAGCATCGAAAGACCCCCTTGTTATATCTTTTCGCACGGGAAAATACAAGGTTACAAAAACGCTTATCGACAACGGGAGCTCAGCTGATATTCTCTTCTTCTCAACCTTGAAGAGCATGAAGAAGGGTGTGGAGGACCTCAAGCCATCTTCAACGCAGCTTGTGGGTTTCTCCGGGTCAAAAATCAAAGTTCTAGGTGTTGTCACATTGCGCGTGACAATCGGGGAAGGTAATGTAACCAAGACAAAATCCATGGAATTTTACGTGGCGGACTGTCCCTCGGCGTACAATGCAATCCTGGAACGCAGTTTCCTTTCAATTTTTGGAGCGGTGGCATCCACGTGTCATCAACGATTGAAGTTCACCGTAGGAAGCG